AGATACCTCATTTTTCCTTTGTTCTCTTTGCTTTCTGAATTTTCCACAGCACGTTAATTCACAAGTCAGAACCCAACAAACAAATTTTGACACAAACAAATGACTAAAAAGAAAAATAATTGAGTTGAAGAGATACAGTGCTAAAATCTAACCACATATGTTTGTGAAGTGATTGGTACAGTCATCCACTACATCATCAAAGCTTTTGACATAGCCTTGAAGGCCTGCTGATTTTCCATGGCCTTCATAGTCAATCCCATATAAGGCAAAGCCTGCTTTGGCAAGCCTGATTGCAGTACCTGGGAAAAAAAAACAATTTGAAACTCTGTTAATTAATTATCAGGGTTATATATATTTTTCTGTTGGGTTTATTTTTTTGTTTGGAGTTGAAATTTGATGGGAAAAGATACAATAAAATTATACAGATATGTGAAGATTAATTTTAATACTCACTGTTCATGGTGATGCTGCATTCCATGGCGTATCCATGACAGATGAAGATTATGGCTTTGGGTGTGGTGTTTTTTGGGAGCCATCTGCATGTGAAAAGCTTCATTCCTCGAGAATTTAAGATGAACTCCTGCATATATAATTAGTGAATGGAATTGATTTAGAACACACACAGAAACAATATTTGTCAAAAAAACAAATCAAAACCCAGCACAGAACAGAACTAAAGGCTAACCTCTTCATATTTGACACCTTCCATATCAGAGGCCTGCAATAATTGGAAAAGAACAATAAGAAAAGCCCATACATAAAACCAAGATGAGAGAGAGAGAGAGAGAGAGAGAGAGAGAGATAAAATACCATGATGTGTTAGAGTGCTTGATATCAGGAAGAATGGTAAGAGTATGAGTGAGAGAAATATATGCCAGATTCAGATGGAAGTTGGCAATTAGAGAGAAGTATTGGGAAGTTGATATTTGTTTATATAGAAAACTCTGGCTTTGCCTTTCCTGGCTAGGATAGGAGAGAGAGAGAGAGCAAAGCCAATATATGTATATAGGCCCGCCTTGGAGAGTTAAATGCGGTCAACTTGGGAAACCCTATATATTTGGACTTTTTGATAAGGTTTAGATAGATGAAAGAAGATAATGGACGTGACTGAAAATAGCATAAGCCATCAACCTGTCACACACGCCATAGTTGTAAAAGCATATTCTAACACTCTAGTAACTTACAAACAACCCCACATGCTCTTACTTTTATGCATCCAACCCAATTAGAACAACCCAATTGCTAATATAATACTAAAAGATGATAATATAAAAAAAAAAAATTGGTGCAAACAATTTAAGCATCTTAATTTGGGTTGCTAATAATTCTTGCATAAAATAAAATATAAATAATTATAATTATTTTTTTGGTATTTTTTTAATTTTTAATTATATACTAACAAAAAGAAACAAACTCAAAAGAGATATTGAGTGTATTTATTTTTGCACTTGTTTGAGGAGCCCGGATTACCTCTCAAATTGACAAATGGATGACATGGGGGGGGGGATCAGTTTTCTGCATTGCAACAACATGCCCCGGTCACCTTTTCTGGAAGTATAATTTCCTCTTCTTTTGATTTTTCTGGTCAATTTAGGGAACACCAGATAAGAAGGAAAGATGACTAGAGAGATAAGTCTCCATTGGCCAGTGGATTGTACTAATTGCCATCTTTTTTCTTCTTTTTTAAGCGCTAAAATATTTATCATATTGCATAAGTAGGTTAGGTGCGCCATTCCCTTGTATCCAAATTCAAAGTAGGTTAGGTGCGCCGTTACTTTGTACCCAAATTCGAATCCCCTGTCCGAATGCATATACTTACCATATTTGATGAGAACTGTTGGAATTGGGGAATCTAATTTCTAAAATGCTTGGGGTCAACAAAGAGAGACGTTTCTATTATTTTGGTGCTTTTGACTAGGCACACACATGGATCATGAATTTCACGAGCACCTGCCTTTCTTTTTATTTTGGGCCGACGTGCAATTATTATATATGTACAGTATGCAACCTTTGACCCCTCTTTTTATTTTATTTCTTGTTTTATTTGGTCGCACACCTTTTTTTTTTTTGGTTACATTGGAGGAAAGAAACCCCACTGGAGTTCGATCCTGGGTGCCATGGGGGAAGGGGGGATCCACCACCACTGTGGTGGGAAGCCTTCTAAGTTTTATTATTTCATGGATCAAATTTTACTTTCCATAAATAAAAAAGAGTTACGAATAAAAGAAATTGTCAACGCGGTTGCAGTGAGGCAGGCATTCATTTGGGCCTGACGTCCAATTCCCACGAATAAAAGGACAAACATGTGAGCAATTTATTTTCAGATCATACAAAACAAAAAACAAAAAATTGAGTAGAAACTGGACCCAAAAAAAATGAATTTAAGCTTGTTTCCAAGTATATAAGCCAAAAAAGATGCATGGCCTTGGCCTGCTGGGGGAGGCAGATAGCTTTTTTTTGTTCTATTTCGTTGGTTATGTGCTTGTAAACCCTACAATGGAGACATGGAAACAATGCAAGGAACGCTTAACTTTTTACTGTTAAACCCTGGAAATGGAGACGTGGAGAAAAAGTAAAAATGGTGCTGTTGTTAGTCAAGTATTGCAATCGATGATGAAGATAGTCATATAGTGGCACCCTATTTAATTCACAGTTAGATGTCGTCGGTCCAATATTTAAGTGTTGATGATGAGATAGATATTCTCATTGTAATCATACTTATCTTATCATTCTGATAATAATTTGAAGAGGGTCGGCATTTTGGACTGAGGTGACATCCGCAGCTTAGTGGGCTTAGATCAATAATGGTTGTCTAAATCTATTTTCCCTTATAGTCAAAGGAGCATAGCTATTTCTCGGAAGATCACTGCAGGTGGTGTATTGAGGGATTCACTTGGTTCTTGGATATGTGGGTTTTCTGTTAATATTGGAATTGGAAATATTGCTGAGACTGAGTTGTGGAGTCTCCTTAAGGGGTTGCAAATGGCGTGGGATAAGGGTATTACGTCTCTTGATGTTGAATGCGACTCTTTATCTGTTGTTTCTCTGATGGCCAAGGTGTCTGACCAATCCCACCCCTTTTTTGTCTATTTGAAGATTGCAAGTTACTGCTAAACCATGATTGGAGTTGCAAGATTTCTCGTGTTTACAAGGAGCAAAACAGAGATGTTGACCACCTTGTTAATTTGGGGTATGAATTACCTTTTGGGCTTCATAATTTTGAGTCTGCTCCGACTTCTATTTCGAACGTCTTATTGGACAATGTGCTAGGAAGGGCCCTTGAGAGGGCCTGTGATTTGTTAGTTTTTTCTTCTTGTTTCGTCTTGGCTTTGGCCTCCTTGTAACCAAAGAAAGAGCATAATCATATCTTAGATATATATCACTTGTTACATATTGTCGCTATCTTACTCAAAGTGTAGAAGACGCATTTATCTTTTTGAAACAAGCGGTACCTTGAGAAGGGGAATCAAACACAGATCCCTCTCAAATGCACGAGTGAATGCTGTTACTTACATGAGCAACAAATCTCTTACTTAAAAACCATCTTTTAATTATTTGAAACGTATACGAGATAATACTATCTAATCAACAGATTACTTTGAAGATTTATAAAGAGATTTGCAATCAACATAGAGCTGTGAACATGTTGATGGTGGACTTTTGATCAGAATAAAAAACTGACCAAATGACTCAAATTCCCTTTCCAGTATATTTCTTTTCAGCAGGTATCACTTTCATGTGGGTTTGCATTATTGTATTAGTATCAATGCATGTGGATGATGTCATGGTTTGCAAAGTCAGACCAATTAGAAAGTAAGATACTCCAAAAATCAACTAGTTTTGAGTAATTTAAACATGCATGATATCACCATCCCTATGCTTTAGAGAGGCTATAACTTATGGGTTTGGTTTATATCGTTATCAATGGATATCTGCATTGCATCTGCAATATACTCAATATACTTATATAGATTGATGTGAAATTGACCATATGATTTCAATGGCATGCCTTGTAATTTAAATTCTCATTTGTCAGCCTTTTACACTGCATATGCAAGGTTTGCTGCTATGACAATTTACGGTGATTTTTTTTTGTCATGGGAATTAATTAATTATTTGATATAACTAGAAACAAAGAGATAAAAGCCGTAAAGACTTGGCATTAGTGTGTAGTATGTGCAGTTATTCTCTTATTCGGATGTCTGCACGTTATTATCGTGCAAATCCTATTGTAAACAGGCAGGAAAACAGAGAGAGGTAGTACAAAATACACGGCGTCCGCACGATAATAACATCCGGATGTCCGCATAAGAGAATTTCTGGTAGTATGTGTGAGTATATTATCGCTCATCTCGATAAGAAAAGTCACAAAAATAAAAAATAAAAAATAAAAAAATCTTAGTAAAGGAGTACATCACAACAGACTGACTCAACACACGGTCTAAAAATATCTAACTACCCCGTCCCCTCCACAAGTTCATCAAAGAAGAATGGGCTGCATTGATAGGATTAAGGCCAGGTCCTCATAATCTTTCTCCTCTTCAAGCCTTATGGGCTTAAACAAAAAAAGCCCTATGAGCAAGTTTCAACCAATTACTAGGATCCAAAATAGATGGCAAAAATTACGTATATAGTTACTCTTACATCCGAAGTCAAAGTTTTTTAAATATTACGTTTTTGGCGGGCGGGGCCGGTTTACCCTCCTCCTCATCTCCATCCTCACTATTGTCCCATATCTTATTGGGAATGGGTATTAGAATCCCCTCGGATACCGACTTCCCGTCATGGATGAGGCTCCCCGTTCCATTCATAAAATTTTAAATTTTAGAATTAACAAAATATTTACTAAGCTTCTCTAGGCATGGGCTTTGGGGTATAACCAAGGCTGATGGGCTCCATGAATAATTGGGCCAACCAGTGCCCGTTTGTGTGGACAAACACTTTGCGATAAAAAAAATCAGAACCCAAATCAACATAGCCCAATCTCAATCAACCCAAAAGTCCATAAAGCCGGGGTATATATAAACCCACTAAACCCATGAACACTCGCAGTTAGGGTTTCATTTTCCCGTGAAGCTAAGAGAGAGCCGCCGCTGCAGAACTCCCATAACACAGCAATGGGTAATTCCAGTTTCTCTCCTGGATTGTGTTTCGTACCAAAAAATCGTCGCTTTCTCTGATATTTGTTTGTTGTTTGTAAAATGTGACAGCGAGAATCAAGGTACACGAGCTGAGGCAGAAAACAAAGGCTGAGCTTTTGAACCAGCTCAAGGATCTCAAGGCAGAGCTTGCCCTTCTTCGCGTGGCCAAGGTCACTGGTGGAGCACCCAACAAGCTCTCCAAGATGTAACTAACAAAACCTTATTTGTCTTTGTGTTTTTGTTTTCTCAGTGATTTTGGCATTTAAATTTTGGTGTGTGTTTGTGCAGTAAGGTTGTGAGGTTATCGATCGCCCAAGTGTTGACTGTGATTTCACAGAAGCAAAAGTCTGCCCTGAGAGAAGTGTACAAGAACAAGAAGTTCTTGCCTCTTGATCTGCGTCCCAAGAAGACCAGAGCTATCCGCCGAAGGCTCACCAAGCACCAGGTACTTAAACTTTTTTTCTGATTGCTTTTATTTACATTTGTGGACTGAAATTGAAATGATGAACCAGTCTGTAGTGGCATTTGATGCAACTGTTTTAGCTGAAGTTCTAGCGCATTAAACACTGAACCCATCAGATATTATGAACCTTTATATTAAATGCATTGGATTTTGTAATTTCTTTGAAAAACTGGAGTGCCCAGTTCATTGTGTTGGGGTGTGATTTTGTTATGCTATTGTTTGCACAGGCATCTTTGAAGACCGAGAGGGAGAAGAAGAAAGAAATGTACTATCCCTTGAGGAAGTATGCCATTAAGGCCTAGAGTGTTGGATCGATTACGTTAGATCATCTTGGTACCTTGCTGTAATAGAATCCTTTTGTTCTCAAGTTTTGGATTTACTTTTGATTAAGAAATTAGACCTGAGATTTTGATGTTTAATTTTACTTGTCTAGGTTTGGGGAGGCATGTCTTGCCCAAATCAACTTAATTTTCTTCGGGTGCAATGATAGTTCAGATTCTGTTCGTGTTTGATAAATGACTTGAGCTCATTATTCCCTGCTTATATTTTTACTGAAAGCAATTGCCCATCTTTATTTTTACATTTCATTCGGTTTGGTTAATCTGTTTTGGGAAACATTTGGCTGGCTGCTTCGGCTTAAGGCTTTGTTTGGCATTGGGGTGCGTCTATGTGATGTCTCATTCCCATTCTTGGGCCTGAACTAGGTTCATTATGAAAATCATCCAATTGAAAGTATTTCCGTTGCTGTTCTTATACTAGGTTTGTTTTATGAGATCTCTATTACCTCCTATATATTTATAGATGATCTCTATTACCTTGCACTTAAACAATCCAGGCGTGATTTCTAATGATCTATGTCTGTTGTGCTTGTCTCTAAATTACCAATTAAGTTTTGATGCCCTTTGATCTTTGATTAGAAATACTTTAGCTCTGTGACAAGTGCCAGTGTTTTCAAACCTTGGCACTTGCTACTACTGATATCAAGAGATTTGGTATTGCAGCTGTGGGTGCATCCCCTGTTGCTAGTTTTCAGTTTTCCACCACTTTCACATTCAGATTAGGTTTAAGTTCCTTACATTGCCTATGTGGTCGAGGAGCCGCAAATCTCTGAGGCTGATTCTCGTGTGAATGTTCAGTATTTAACATTATGGTTAATTTGATTCTTGATTCTTGATTCTTGATTCTTTGGGTTTCTTCGGCATGTAACCCTGTCTGGCTTTTTGTGTCGTTGGGCTTCTAGTCTTATTGTTGGACAACGTTTGGGCCCTTTGGTTTATGGGTGTAAGTGTTCTTGTTCCATCTTGTGCCGAAACAACGAAAAGGGTGGGAAGGTTCCTTCCTAGTTTGTTTGACCAAATTTTTATAGGAAAATCGCGGGGTGACAAGTCTTATCCTTAATAAATAAGAGCACACTCGATTGTCAGACAAGATTGACATATATACATGATCCTTGGGGTTTTGTTGAATGTTTAATTTTCTTCGCCCGAATTTTTGTATTTTTTAGGTGACATCAAAACAAAACCCATCATTTTTAAACCTTCAAAATGGATGTTTCATTTTAAAATTGAATGGCTGCCGACTTCAAACTTTAAATAAATAAGAACAAGTCAAATGGGATGGAATGAACGATCCCTGTTCTGTGGCATGGCTGTTCAATCAACTAATTTATAATTCATTTCCAGCTAACTAATTTCTTCATGGCAAGTCAAACAATTTATCTATATATTTTTTGGTCCAGTGCTTACGAATTATTCAGGACAAAAAAATTAGTTAGCACATATGGTATGCTTCTCAATTAAACAATTAAACAAGTCTTGAAATTGGGGTTTTTTTAAATTATTTTTGTGTGTATTAGATAAAGAAACATAAACAAACTTATAAGAAAAATAACATGACAGTGTTTTTGTTTTCTCATATCTGATTCAACTTATTGATTTCATTTATTTTTAGCAATATCTGACACGTCATATGTATTGAAAAACTGAGATTTGTTTTGATGAAACTTGACTCATTCATCAAAAAATAAATATAAACAAATAAAACTTGACTTAGAACCACAGCCTTGCAATTAGTGTATTAATGCCAATGGGTTCTAGTCAATGAAAAAGTGCATTGATTTGCAGACTAAAAATCTCAGGATCAAACTCCCATGATATTCTGATTGTGTGTGTGAGAAACCCCCCTCCCATTTAATTTAGACTAAATCCTCCCAAAAAAATCATTGGTATTCTATTGCGGCGTTCGACCTTTTATTTGCTCTGTCTTCAACCTCATTTTTATATTACAATGAAACCCTGTTTTTGTTCTCTTCCCTCAAAATAAAAATAGCGACACGTCATCATACTGATTTAAAGGCCTTGTTGCTTCCATCAGCAGCATCACCATTCCATCCAAAGTCTTTATTTCTGGCGGTCCATTTTAGTTTGTTGCTTGTCGTGTGTATAAACCTCTCGAATGTCCACTCAGTCTTGAGCTCTACTTTTATTCAAAGATTCGAATTGTTAACTAACCAAAACCTTTTCATACGTTTGGACCAATTAAATTTTGTGTTGATCATTCAACGACAGCTACAGCTTTGTTATTATTTGGTTGGACTTTGTGCGTTACATACATGTGCATCTAAAACTGCGTTTTCCTCTCTTATTTGGTTTATGTATGTATAGAGTGAGAGGCTCGAGAAGACAATCAACACGAATAACACAGCAACACGCATATTATAACACATGAATTAATAATTCGTTATCCCAGCAAACGCATAAATGTCAGTTTGTGGAGGTCTCTAGTCTCCTTGAAGGATATTGGGTGGATGAGATTAGTGGTGCAATTTGGCAACATTGGTAAGCATTATTATTGCTTATTAAGCTCTAAGGCTCCCATCATTTTCGCCGTGTGCTCATGACTCGTGCATGCATCTTTCCCGTCAGAGTGGGAAAGAGAGAAAAGACAGAGCCATGAGAAGTGCATTGCAATTTCGAATTTTTAGGTTTGGTTGGCTTTATTGGGAGAAGACCCACCAATTGCTATTGTCTAGTTTAAGGAAAATACATGCCGACTGCATAGACTACAGACCATACTCTCAACATTGTCCCAAATCTCCTACTTTTCTAGGTATGAAAAGTGCACATGTTTAAAATAGGTTTCTAGATACATACATTAGTTTCAAGATTGACCCAATTCCCTGTTTACTAGTCATAATGAGCTTATCTCCCCTACCTAGCTACTTGAGAGCTTATCACAATAATGAAGAACATTTCAAACCCATAATATGCACACTTGTATTATATTTATTGATGAACTCTAGAGATGGGGTTCGTCTGAGTAGGATTCATGTGTGAAGGGATGAATCTACCTCTATTAGAGATGTGGTCAATAAATCCGATCAATATAACAACAATTTTTAGATTCTTTATTCATGGTTGTCAGTCATAAATGCATGTGGGATTCATTGTGAGATTCACGTATATTACACGACATCCACGTACACAATCTTTCTTAATATTTTCTCTATAACATTGTGCACAACAAAGAGTTTGTGCATGCATGAAAAGCCGCAATTACTTACTTGACACCAAATTAATTAGGATTTCATTATTTGAATCAAAACAATGCAATTATTGTTCACAGGAAACATGAATCAATTGGCAAAATTGGCATGCGCTTTTGGAGGCAGCTGCTTACGTACATAGCTAGTGGTTCTTTACCAAATTTACATGGGGTTGGTCTTGCTTTTTCCAAAGACTGGGAGCACGAAATTTGGGTGTGGCTTTCTATAATAACTTAGAGGAAGGAGCCAATTTAGAAGTATCCATTTTTCTTCTGAAGAAGAAGCGGGCGAGCAAAGCAAACCCAAGTCTGTCAAGTCAGTCACTTTTGTTCTGGTTTGGGAGACTCTGGAACTGGCAAAAAAGAAAAAGGGTTTACAAGTCCAGGTTGCTCAAAGTCCTTGAGAGAGAAACAGTTTCATTAGTTAAACCCCAAATCCTCTGTTTCCAGGTTGCTTCCTATTCGAGTCTACCCTGCATTTTGGAGGATATCATCTCTCTTGTCAAGCCGGTTTATACTGATGACGATATTTATATTAATACTAAGAATGAGATCAGCTGCATAAATATGAAGTGGCGTTGCAAGGCTGCAGCTTGACTATGATGCATTCATTGAATATAATATTTATTAAATAAAACCAAGAAAATTCAATGCAAAAAACTGCTTGACCAAGCTAAAAATTAGAATGGCTACTATAAAATACAAATTGATTTACTTGGGTCTTTATCCAGAGGGACACATAGACTGTTAGCCAGAGCCAGTCAAGTCTAAAATTTCCAAGCACATCCACCTCCCTCAATTGGGAACCAACGGCTCTCCTCTATAAAACACTTCCAAAGCCAAACCACCATAACCAAGAAAAACAGGCAGTGAGCTCTCTCTCTCTCTCTCTCTAGAATCTTTGGGCTTACAAGCTCTTCTTCTTCTTCTCCATCTTAACACCCTTTCCAGGCTCAATGATGCTATCAGAGACCCCTAAGAGTGGTGCTACTACACTCACACCAAGAAAAGGAACGCCAAGCCGCTTTTTCTTCCAATCTACCAAAACCAACTCTTCTTCTTCATATTCACTTTCAAGCTCTTGCACTGCTTCAAACCCTGCCCGCACCTTCTCTCTACTGATGATGGAAGAAAACATCGCAATTGCTGAATCCATCATCACCAAATGGGATCCAAACTCTTCCTCATACACCAAAATCACTTTTCTGTTCCAGCATAGCAGAAAAGAAGCCAAAGAGTTCCTCAAATCCGTACACTACTTGCGTGGTGCTATGCATGTTTTAGTTGGTGGAAGCTCATCCAGCAAGCTTGTACTTGCTCAAAATCTAATGCAAACAGCGATGAGAAGGCTTGAAAAAGAGTTTTACCAGATATTGTCTGCAAACCGGGATATCCTTGACCCTGAATCAGTTTCAAGTCGATCCTCAGGATCAGCCAAATTTTATAATGCAGACGAGGCTGGATCAGAAGACGAGTTGGAAATTGTTGGTGAGTCAATCACAGAGGTTGAGAGAGCCTCAGCATTTGCCATGTCAGACCTGAAGTCAATAGCTGATTGTATGATCAGTTCTGGCTATGGTATAGAGTGCGTGAAGATATACAAAAATATCCGGAAGTCAATAGTGGATGGAGGATTGTTTCGCCTTGGAATCCAACAGTTCAAATCTCCACAAGTTCATAAAATGGATTCGGAAGGACTAGAAAGCATACTCAGGAACTGGATGGATGCTGTAAAGATTGCTGTGAAAGCACTATTTCGTGGAGAAAAATATCTCTGTGATCATGTGTTTTCAGCATCTGAGAATATCAAAGAGTCATGCTTCTATGAGATAACCAAAGAAGGAGCCACCACCCTATTCAAATTTCCTGAACTCATTGTGAAGAACAAGAAAACCCCAGAAAGAATTTTCTGGCAACTGGAAATCTATGAAGCAGTCTCTGATCTTTGGCCGGAGATTGAATCTATATTCGAC